GTCTAGCTGGTGATTTCAATGAGATACAAAATCTTAGGAAAAGAAGGGGACGTTCTAGAAGAGACAGAGAGATGAAAGACTTTAATTTATTTATAGAACATATGGAGCTTCTTGATTTACCCATGTTGGGAAGACAGTTCACATGGTGCAATTCTAATGAAGGAGAAAAATGGAGTAGAATTGATAGAGTACTCATGTCAACGGAGTGGGTAGAAAGGTTGAAATTAAAGTTATAGGGTTTAGAGAGAAGTGTTTCAGATCATTGCCCCCTATTACTGGTTAAAGATGGCAGGGATTGAGGTCCTAGTCCATTTCACTTCATAAACGGTTGGACTCTACATCTGAAATTTGGAGAAGTTGTGAAGAAGTCCTGGGATGATTTTGCAATTATTGGCTGGGCAGGTTTTGTTATTATGAATAAGCTGAAGGTTCTACGTTCAATTTTGAAAAAAATGGAATATGGAGGGAGGAAGTTATTCGAATGGATGAGGACACATCAAATCAGATATCCTTCAGCTGTGGGGGGTCAAGGTTGCAACAAGAACAATGTCCTTAATTGATACTGCAATACAGATTAGATGTGAAGGTATGTTATATCCAGTTAGAGTGTGCGAAGAACAAGTTATGGTTAATAAATTTATTGATAAATCATGTAAGTGTAAGTCAAGTCAAAAGAGAGATGATCTATGCAGTGCAAACGGAGGAAAGGAGCAGGAGACTGGAAAGATTGTAGAAGAGAACGAGGTCGAGGTGGAAAGCTCAATTGGAAATATGGTGGACTTGAGTGCTGAGATGGCACGATCATAGAGAGTTGATTTGGCACACACTGTATTAGTGGTAGAGGGGAAGATGGCCAACGGTGTCTCCACCTCGAGAATGGAATAGACAATGGAGGTGGGTTTGGAAAGCCAAAGGGCAATTAAATCAACCGTGGAGAGAAACAATTCAAAGAATTTGAATCCCATCCAACTATTTAATGAAGTGAGTGGGCTGGTGGAAGGTAAGGGTAATGGGTTCATGAGAAGCATTAGTGAGGATGTGCTTGATAACCTAGGGATAGCATTGGAAGTGGATTTGGTTAAAACCCAGTGCGATGGGCCAATATTTGGGCTCATGGTTAGCAATAGTAACTCAGACAATGAGGTGTCACAGGCCCAGGATGTTGGGTCATCATCACTTTATGTTGAGGCTACATTTGAGAGTGGTAACACAATTAGGAAAAAAAGAGAGTTAAAACAGAAGAAAAAGTTAGTAACGAGAAATGATAGTAGAATCTCGGTGGACAAGCATGGGAGAGCAAAGGGAGGGAGAAATGAAAGGAAAGGAGGTGCAGTGGGTATGGGAAGCTGGAGTAGAGGTGTTGTCCTAAGACTTAAATTTGAGTTAAAAGCAAGATCGGATGCACATGGGAAAGTCACAAGTAAAGAAAATTTCGGGGCAAGATCAAAATTGAAGTCTATTGGGAGAAATTTTCATAGGAATTTGACACTCATTATTCTTGTTTTTGAAAACAATATGTATAGGTAAGATTGTGAAGGAGCAGAGGTTTAATAGTACCAGCTGTGCAAGCGCTTGTGGAGGTTGATGGTGTACTCCCTAGTCACCACCTCTTCCTTCCTTCCTTTCGTCTTCTCCGACATTTTCTCTCTCTCTCTCTCTTCGAGCACTCCTCAGCAGCAAAGCCTGCACAAAATCCAAATACACAAAACACAAATCGTTTGAATTAGCTATAGCTTTCATTTGTTAAATAAACTCAGATCTGCAATCGAATCGAGACCATGAATCGAGAGAGAAAGACAGAGAGAGAGACCTCTAGGGTTTGGAGAACGGAATCTAGAGAAGCCGAAATGAAGATGAGACAAGTATATAAACCCTAATGGGATGCCCTAGAAAAGGTCTATTTGGGTTGATTTTGGGCCATATCTTGTCCATGGACAATGAACTCTATTTGGGTTTCTTTTGGGCCCAATTTGTTACAAAGCCCAGAAACCGTACTCTTATTTTACTCATATTTTTTTTTTTTTGGATACTTACCAATAAGTTTCATACACAAAATTCAAAATTTATCGAATCTCAAAACAAAATACTTGCACCAATTAATCTTATATATTTTTAATTGTTGCCAAAAATTCTTTCTTTTTAAATTATTTTTATCACTTTAAAAATGTTGTTTAAAAATATTGTTACATCCAACGACTTCCGTCAGACTCACCGAAGACTCGCAGGAATATTCAATATCACTGGAAAGTCGTCGGAGTATCACCGGAAGTTTATCGAAGTTTGTTGAGCATCGTTAGAAGTTCGCCAGAGTGTTCTGAACGTCATTGAAAAATGTCAAGAACATCATCGGAGACTCACCAGAATATTCATAATATTGCCCCAAACAAAAAAGAATAAAATGGAAAAATTATAGTTAAACAACATAATAACAACAAACAACTAAGCAAACAATCTGTAATATTGATCAAACTAAAAAGTAAGTTTTGAAACTGTAAAATGTTACAGTTTCAAAGTATTATTCTATTAAGCTGGAAAACATGTTATTAAACTGCAAAATTTTACAGTTCTAAAGAATATTATGAAACTGTAAAATTTTACAATTTTAAAGCATGATTCATTTTAGCACCAAAAAAAGCTAAAATTGTAAAATTTTATAATTTTCTCCGCCTGTAACTAAAACTCAATAACAACTTATTTAGAATTTGAAATTTTTCTCCATTAAAACAGAAAAATAGGCGTGTGTAACAGAGAAAAGGTAAAAATTTTGAGAAATCGAAAGAAATAATAGATATAGAAAGCATATTATACTCCGGCAACTATTTTTTGTTTAGATCTAGTCGGATTTTATGTAGATCTACTCAAATAAGTAGATCTGCATCATATTTGAGTAGATTTACTCTTCTTCTTCGCCGTCGATAAGGATGAAATAACGAGTTGATGTTGATGGTTGGCGGTTGGCGGTGAACTCCAATCAATGATGGTCGTCAGTCACCGGTGACTATATATTAGAAAAAAGAAAGAGAATAAGAAATGTGTGATCACCGGTCGTCGGACATAACAAAGAAAATAAGAGAAAAACGTAGAAAAAAGAGAGAGGAAAACGTAAAGTATGAGGAAAAAAAAGCAGAGAGAGAAAAAGTGTAAGATTTTTAGGTCTACTCAAAATGTTGTTGGATTAAATAATGTACACATATTTTAAACAAGATCTACGGATAATTTTCCCTTTTTTTTAATAAATAAATAAATTCATTTTTATTATTATTATTTTTTAGGCTCAAGCTCGAGATAGAGCTCGAATTCGGCTGGTTATGTAAATTTACACTCATGTCAAGTTTGAATTTCTTAACCAGTCGTGTTCGATTAATTTTTAATATACAAATTTAAACACTCAAAAGTAGGACTTGATTGGTTTGAAACTTATGCACAGAGGCAAGGCAGCCAGATTTGCGTCATCATCAAGAAAACAAAAACCAAAAAACTTTAAAAAACAACTAAAATAATTGGTTTATAATTACATTTTAAGAAAGAGATGACATCAAGGGCGTTTGGTCTAGTGGTATGATTCTTGCTTTGGGTGCAAGAGGTCCCGAGTTCGATTCTCGGAACGCCCCGGGCAAAGTTTTAAAACGAGTAAAATTTTTTTTGAAAAACCATGTCTGCTTTGTTGAAATCATTCTTTTGTGACTCCAACCATTGGATAGTGTTTTGTGAATCATTTTAAGGAATTGATCAAGCAAGCAAATCTTCCACTTTTATTTTTTTGTTTTTATGTCATTTGACAAAGATTTTATTTTTATGATGCACATTTTGTATCGATTGCATATTTGAGATTGTATGAAATAATTTTTATCCATTATGTCAATGTAGTTGTTTTGATATGTGTGCAGGTTGATGAAATGGTTATAAAATGACGTGGTGTGTTGTGCGGTCGTTTAGACTCATTTTGGAATCAATTTCGATAATTCGAATCGTTCATTTTTTAGGGTATATTGAGTTGAACATACCTACAAAAAATAAATTGATCATATATCGTTAACCATTTCATCGGATTATATTTGTATCTATAAAAGTGAACAGCAAATTTTATGTGAAGTATAAAATTAAATACAAATACGATTTGATGAAAGAATTAACGATATTCAATTAATTTGATTTTTTTAAAGTATGTTCTACTTAATATACTCTAAAAAATGAATGGTCAAATTATTAAAACACGGGTCTCGAAATGGGCCTAAATGGCCACACAATAGTGACTGTTGTACCTTCTGCATAGTAGTCACACCATATCCATTATAAAATGCCTTACATTGACATATTAACATAATTTCGTTAGGAAATCAAACATTCTTAATCAGGATTGGTGAGATACAAAATAAACAAATTGAATCAATCTCACATACAAATACAAAATGATTTATGTGATTCACCCCATGCTTCTTTGTAATTATCCAACTCAACCTTTTAAGGAGCTTTAAAAATGTAATAGAGTGGTAAATTACACAAGGCAGACCTGATCAAAGTCAATCTTCTGCCAATAGAAATATACCTCCTTTTCCATGAAAACAACTTGTTTTTAAAGCTTTGGATAACAGAGGTTGCAAGTGTTAGATAACCTTGTGTCAACACCCTGGGAGTTTCGAGATTATTTATTTATTTATTATATATATTATCTTATATCTCATTTTCAGTAAATTGTTGCACAATTACAGATCAATAGTATTAAATTATAGGTATAGTTTATAGGCATAGTATAACATATTAACATTATTAACATTCACAAATTTTAAATACTGTTTTTGAACACTGACATAACACATAAAAAGACAATCATTCTTAGAGTTCAAAAAAAAAAAAAAAAACCTTCCCTAGCAATTTAGTTGTGATCAACTAAAATGAGTAACAACCAGTTTCTTATCAATTGTGGAAAGAGTTTAGCTCCGACTAATGTTATAAACACACACACCAAAACAATACAAAATTCAATATTAGAAGTACCGTTATTCATTTCATCCTGATAAAATGTGGGCTCCATTCGAAATGATAAAGTGTTACTTGAATTATTTTCCGAGCTGAAAAGATTAAGAAACACGCTTGCAAATAAGGACCCCATCACCAGAAGGAACATGAGAGATCTCAACGCGATGATCAGTTGTCAATAATTTTTTGAACTCAATTGTTGCTTTCCTCACTTCTCTCTTGCCCATAGGAACAGACTCTTCAGGCTTAGCAACAAATCCTCTTCCTCCCCATAGAGTGTTATCGTACAAGACCAAACCCCCAACCTTCACCAGTTTCATCATCCTCTCATGGTAGTTTATGTAGTTACCCTTGTCAGCGTCAAGGGCGGACCCAAGATTCGTCGATGGGGTGGGCTAATATTAAGGTAAAATTATTGAAGTGGGTGAAAATTAATCAAGTCTTGATGCTAGGCCCAATGCAACACTCACTCCAAGGTGGAGCTAGGTCGGACCTCGGCCCTATGGCCAACACTTGCTCCGAAGTAAGACAATCATAGGAGTTCGGCCCAATGTACGAGTCTCTAAATATTCGAATTCATCGATTACAAAATCTAGATCAATTTTCAATGTAAGGTCTCATTCAAGATAGAGAGACAAGCAATTAGCAAGAAACTCATCCCCCATTGAATTGCAAATGACAGTTTTAACATATTTCAAGGTTAAAAAACTAAGAGTAATATAGAACGTTGAACAAGGAAGCATCATAAAAAAACTAAGAGTAATATAATATTTGTTGCATAAAGACAAAATTTTAAAACCATTGTTAATCAATTTCATTCTCAACCAATGAAATAAAATAATTGGTTAATTACATTTACAAAAAATGTTAGGAAAGTGGAGTTGCTATAGGCTACTAGAGACGACGGAGAAGACAAAGAGAGGGCTGCTTCCTATCTATTGAAAGATGTGAGGATTGTTTTGGAAGATTTGTTCTTTAAACAAATACAAACCTATTGGCCTGCCTATCTATTTTTTTGGGGTAAGTATTGGGCAGCTATTGGACTGCGTATTTAAAAAACAAACAAAAAAACTATTGGCCCTTATTTGGGACTGGGCTGGGAGAGGTTGGGAGGCTAGGTTGGGTGGGAAAAAAATTTTCTACAGATTTTTTAAATATTGGGCTGGGTTGCAGCCACCTATGCCCAGCCCTAGGTCCGCCCTTGGTTAGCATCAACATAAGCAAATTCAAATGACCCTTCGTTTTGTTTCTACAACATAGCCCAAAACAAAACAAAAAAAACAAAAAAAGAAAGAACAAAATTAACATATTGAACTTATGTGAAGCAATTAGAATGGGGAAGGAGAGAAAAATGGTCGGGAAAAAAGGGAAAAAAATAATAAGTACATTGAAAATGAAGTGTATGATTGAGATTCAAACTAGTGTGGATCAAATTCAGAATAATTCTTTCTCTTTTTCTTTTTTTCTTTTTTTTATCAAGAAAAAGTGAAATTTTATTCATGTATGAAGATTAGAGAGAAAATAACTCTATACATCCAAAGGGCCAAGGTGATGAAAATGCATCGTTGTTGACTAAGTACATCCAACTAGTTTGGTACATACCAAGCAAGCCAATCATGAGCAAACACAAAGCTAGAGAACAAAATGCACATTGAGAATCAATCCGATCCACACATGTAAATTTTATGATACTTTTTCTTTATGTAAAATTGTTTGAAAAAATATATATTTAGTTTTGTTAGGTATCATTTCTGTTTTTGTTTCTTATTTTGAATTTCTAAAATTAAAAAATAAAATTAAAAAAACCTATTTTATAGTGAACTATTTATGAATATAACCAACATTTTAGAATATATCAGGAAGTTATTCTTAAATTTTTGAAAACTATTTTTGCACAAAATTAAAAATCATATGAAAATAATGGATTTTTTGAATTATTCATTATTCTTGTTTTTGAAAACAGAAAAACAAAAATGATACAGAATGCACCCTTGTTCTTGTTTTTCAATTGAAGTTTCTATTAATTCAAGGAAGAGAAAAGATGAAAATTAAATAATCATTGATGGGCAATAATAATACATACATCTTCTAAGAGTTTATCAAGAAAGGGAAGAGCTTGGGAATGAATGAAGTCAATTTTGTGTTCAACACCAGCTTTTTTGATGAATGGCAACCCTATTTCATAGGTCTCGCCGTTCATATCAACTGCCACAATCTACAGTTAATTAAAGTATATCTTGATTTTAGAGCTATATATAAAAATTTTAAGATGGAATTTTCATCACCAAATATTTAATTTCGTTGCTAAAAATACAACACTATCAATGTTCGGCAAGTAATATATTTCAATTTGTTGTAGTGTAGGGTGAGGAATAGGTAGAAACCTTGCTATAAGGAGGAATGGAAAGAGCAGTGAGAAGAAGAGAGTAGCCAGTGAAGACTCCAACTTCAATTGTCTTCTTTGGATTCACTGTCTTCAACAGCATCCCTATTAGCTGTCCTGCATCTGGTGATGTTCCAAACACTGCACTGCCAATCACAACACCTAACAAGTTGCTTATCTACTGGAGACTCACTTGTAGTGAATAAATAGTGGTGAATGAATTAAAGGTTTCTATATTGTCTGACAGAATACCATAAAAAGAGTGCAAGATAGGTTTGTTTCTTAAGTTGAGTAGTCTCATTTACATAATCAAGTAACCTTTATATTATATATTCTGATAACAAATAAAATCAAAGCAATACTGAAATAGAATGGTAGAAGTGCAGAGAGAGAGAAGAGAGGGATAAATAAATGTTACCTTGGATGGGTTGCGGTGGCATTCCTCAGCTCCTTGAGTGGCTCTGGTTCCCGTGGGTACACACTAGTCTCCGGTATATACTGCATCCATCCCAAAATGTACATCTTAAAATTCAAAATTGCTACAAAATGTATAAATTTTTCGAGAAAAATCAATTCAGTGTAAGTTTTTACAAAAAAGTACAGTGAATAATTAAAGTCTTAAAACTCTTTTAGGAATTTGTAATAATTTTCTAAAAGTACCATTTGAATGGTAATTTCTCTTAAAAAGTAATGAATGAAAGATGAATATAAACCGTACATGTTCATCGAGTTTTAAATTTTCGAATAAGTTTGACTTGTCACGTGACAATTTTTAGGTATGTTCATCGAGTTTTAAATTTTCGAATAAGTTTGACTTGTCACGTGACAATTTTTAGGTTTATTAACCGTTGTGTTTAGTTTTGGAAAATCAAAAAAGTGTGACAAAATGTTCATAACAAATGAGCTGTAAACTTTACATAATAATAATAATAATAATTATTATTATTATACAGATATATAGATAGATAAGTGGATGTTACGGTACTTGATACAATTCCTCACTTTCTAACACCACAGGGTTAGACTTAATTACTCTATTTGGGAGTTCACGTGACAATTTTTAGGTTCATTAACCGTTGTGTTTAGTTTTGGAAAATCAAAAAAGTGTGACAAAATGTTCATAACAAATGAACTGTAAACTTTACATAATAATAATAATTATTATTATTATACAGATATATAGATAGATAAGTGGATGTTACGGTACTTGATACAATTCCTCACTTTCTAACACCACAGGGTTAGACTTAATTACTCTATTTAGGAGTAAGTCCATTTCTATTTGATGCACAACAACACTAACTGACAATTAATCCACAGAGAGAGAGAGAGAGAGCTCAGTACTTTGTTTCAATCCTACAGAGAGAGAAAAGTGAGGGGCTTATCTTAAAAACATGTACACATGAACATGAAAATGGAAGAATTAGTAAGCATAGTTTTACCAAATGCACAAACCAGTTGTATGAATAATTATGCATCCACTGTATACTTAAATAGTCGCGGGTGGATAACAACTATTAGAATTGTCGATCATTAATTTATCTAAAAACTTAAACTGTTACAGAGAAGAATAACTTTATTATTTACTTTTATTTTCCCTAACGATGACTTCGCTTTCTTGAATGGTTGTTCTGACTCATAACCACCATCATCATCAACAAACTAAAATTCTTGCTAGTATTATAAGTATTAGGTGATGCACTTGGTTTAGCTTTGTGAAAAAGTAATGCATAAATGCATCTTTGCACATGAAACTGAGACAAAACAGAAAATGTATCATGGTTGACAAGACACCAATAAACAATAGGAAAAACACAAAAAGAAAATTAATAAAATATTAAAAATGACAGCTTTCTTTTTATTTTTTCATAGAAGAATAATTATAAAATATAAGAAATATCACATCAAATAAAGTAATTTCTTTTAGAAGCTCATCAAATTGAGTAATTAAAATCCAACAATAATTGGAAAAGTCCAACAACCCACCATATACATAAACACCACGACGGTTATCAAAACACTTCAATGTAGAAATTGAACCCCACAATTTCATACTACAAAATAATACTACACATCTACTAGGCTGAAAATCTTGTTTAAAGCCACCTCTAACATAATATTCTATTCATTTATACCACAACATATAAGAGTTTTAGGGGCAATATTTTTTCATTTTTAAAACTTAAAATTTTGTTGCTCAAAACACTAGGAGACTGTTGACTTTTTGGCTTTCGAAGATTATTATTGTAATTATGAGCGTGCCAGTAAGGATTAATTAGTCCTTACAGAAATTCAATTGCCAACCAATTATCAGACGATTGTGTTTTAGTTCTTTAAGCCTCAATAAATAGGACTTTTACTGGTGGCTTTGTTAAGAGAATTAAACGAACAATGGGTAAATAAAGAATAGTTGAAATATTTCATTAAGCAAAATGAAAGACTTACAAAGATCTAAATCAGCCTCATATAGGTTGACAGCAACAATCTACTTGAAATCTACTCCTATGAACGAAATGCAGTTCAGAAATGTAAAGAACAGGAAATGTAAAAACTGGAAATGTAAAACTGGAAAGGAAATAAAGTAGAATAAGACTGGTTTTTTGGATCTGAGTCTAAGCTTTTTTCTAAGGCCTTCTCAGCTATTTATACTTTTCAAGGATGACCATCGAACTGCATTTTCAACCGTCGAACTGCTCCTCCATGATCGCTGATCATGTTGCCTTGTAATTAGCTCCACTATGCCATCACTTGCAATTAGGCTTTGTAGACACCCCATTTTTGACCGGCCTTAAGACTCAGACGTCATCAATTGAGTGCTCGGTGATGGTCCATGTTGTGCTCGTTTAGAGGTTTCGGAGTTTTGGCTGAGAGCCTTGCCTCCGGGCCTCTGAATTCTTTTGTGTTTCGGCTCGGTTTGTGGACCGAACTTTGTTTCTCTTCCCCGGAGGAAGGGAGTAGTCTTGTAGACCATCTCTCTGTGGTCGTAGACTACTTTTCGTGATCGTAGGTCACTTTTCCCGTTTGGAGACTAGTTTTCGATTTTTGGAGCCTTTGGCTGCGCGCCTTGTCTCAGGACCGCTTAACATTCTCCGTTTGGCGTGGTTTTTGAACCACACCTTGTTGCCTCTGCCTAGAGGAACACTGTGGTCCGGGAGACCACTTTTGTGGTTGCATACCATTTTTGATGCTCGTCAGCTAGTTTTCGAGGCTTTTGGCCGCGTGTTTCGCCTCCCGATTTCTCGTCTTGCATCCGCTTTGGTTTTTTTTTGGTACAAATCTTATTTTCCTTGTTTGGAAGGTGGTACAAGGGTGGGAGACCAGTATTTCTCCTTGGAGACCACTTTTCCTTTTTTCAGCTAGTTTTCTTGTCAGATAACCGGCTTTCTTGGTCTTTGGACCATCTTTTCTAGTTGGCCACCACACCACCACCTTGCATTTAGTGTGTTGACATCTCCCACCTATGGCCGACCAGTTTTTGCTCTGGTTGACCACCTAAAGTGGTCGGCTGACCACTTAAACTAACAGGCCGACCACTTCAAGTGGTCGGCTGCTTTTGGCACATTTTTGGAGATATTTTTCTTCAGCTAGCACAGTTGGAGGACATTAGACTCATCCTCTATACACGTGTATGGAGGGATTGCTTTGGTGCTTAACTTCTCCTAGAAGCTTTGCCTTTCCTCTTCTATAAGAGGGAAGCTCCTCCTCCCTTCTCTAGGTTCAAAAAATCTGAGAGAAGAGGATAGATATAGTGTTGTATCTATATTGCCTTGTTTGCTTCATTTTTGTGCCTTAAAGTGTAGATTTGTCTTACTTTAACACGCAAACACACACTCAAACACCATCCTTTTGCTACTGAGCTGCTTAAGGGCTGATTTTGGTGTTCTTGGGTTGCCTTGAGCTTGAAAAACCTGTTGGAGTTGCAGTTATAAAGAATGTCTTCAAGGGTGAGTTTTTGACCTTTAAATCCCTCTTTCTTGCTTAAGCTTTTAGCCTATCTTGCATGCTGTTTTTAGCTTAACTTATAACTAATAAAAGTTCTATTTTTGCATGCTTTTGATCTTTGTTTAAGATCACTTTTGTGTTTGGGGTTGTTTACCCCCTCTTAGGCCTTGTTTGGCCTTGTTTTTTAGCCTCTTTTGTGAGCTTCGAGACCACCTTGTTTTGGCCTTCTCACCACTGAAATCCAGAAAAGGGGAGGGTCATCCCCTCTCCTTGTGTTTTCTTTACATGCCTTAATATGCCTCATGTTTGAGCACCTTTGTTAAGTGTATGTTGACCATGTCTTAGCTTGTATTTGTGATTATTTTACTGAGGCATAACACTGTTTTCACTTGCTTTGGTCACTCCATGCATGGTCAATCTGCATCCATCCCAAAATGTACATCTTAAAATTCAAAATTGCTACAAAATGTATAAATTTTTTGAGAAATATCAATTCAGTGTAAGTTTTTACAAAAAAGTACAGTGAATAATTAAAGTCTTAAAACTCTTTTAGGAATTTGTAATAATTTTCTAAAAGTACCATTTGAATGGTAATTTCTCTTAAAAAGTAATGAATGAAAGATGAATATAAACCGTACATGTTCATCGAGTTTTAAATTTTCGAATAAGTTTGACTTGTCACGTGACAATTTTTAGGTTCATTAACCGTTGTGTTTAGTTTTGGAAAATCAAAAAAGTGTGACAAAATGTTCATAACAAATGAACTGTAAACTTTACATAATAATAATAATTATTATTATTATACAGATATATAGATAGATAAGTGGATGTTACGGTACTTGATACAATTCCTCACTTTCTAACACCACAGGGTTAGACTTAATTACTCTATTTAGGAGTAAGTCCATTTCTATTTGATGCACAACAACACTAACTGACAATTAATCCACAGAGAGAGAGAGAGAGAGCTCAGTACTTTGTTTCAATCCTACAGAGAGAGAAAAGTGAGGGGCTTATCTTAAAAACATGTACACATGAACATGAAAATGGAAGAATTAGTAAGCATAGTTTTACCAAATGCACAAACCAGTTGTATGAATAATTATGCATCCACTGTATACTTAAATAGTCGCGGGTGGATAACAACTATTAGAATTGTCGATCATTAATTTATCTAAAAACTTAAACTGTTACAGAGAAGAATAACTTTATTATTTACTTTTATTTTCCCTAACGATGACTTCGCTTTCTTGAATGGTTGTTCTGACTCATAACCACCATCATCATCAACAAACTAAAATTCTTGCTAGTATTATAAGTATTAGGTGATGCACTTGGTTTAGCTTTGTGAAAAAGTAATGCATAAATGCATCTTTGCACATGAAACTGAGACAAAACAGAAAACGTATCATGGTTGACAAGACACCAATAAACAATAGGAAAAACACAAAAAGAAAATTAATAAAATATTAAAAATAACACCTTTCTTTTTATTTTTTCATAGAAGAATAATTATATAATATAAGAAATATCACATCAAATAAAGTAATTTCTTTTAGAAGCTCATCAAATTGAGTAATTAAAATCCAACAATAATTGGAAAAGTCCAACAACCCACCATATACGTAAACACCACGACGGTTATCAAAACACTTCAATGTAGAAATTGAACCCCACAATTTCATACTACAAAATAATACTACACATCTGCTAGGCTGAAAATCTTGTTTAAAGCCACCTCTAACATAATATTCTATTCATTTATACCACAACATATAAGAGTTTTAGGGACAATATTTTTTCATTTTTAAAACTTAAAATTTTGTTACTAAAAACACTAGGAGACTGTTGACTTTTTGGCTTTCGAAAGTTATTATTGTAATTATGAGCGTGCCAGTAAAGATCAATCAGTCCTTACAGAAATTCAATTGCCAACCAATTATCAGACGATTGTGTTTTAGTTTTTTCAGCCTCAATGAATAAGACTTTTACTGGTGGCTTTGTTAAGAGAATTAAACGAACAATGGGTAAATAAAGAATAGTTGAAGTATTTCATTAAGCAAAATGAAAGACTTACAAAGATCTGAATCAG